CCCTCTCTGTCCTCTCTCTTCCACCTCCCCCTTTCCGTCTCTGTAATGAGTAAAATGTCATTCAAGATACGAAAACATTACCTACAAAAACACGGAACTAATTATTATAATTGACAACTAAAATATTATTTAATAAGTTTTTTTCTTAATTATTATAGAGCAAAAAAAAAGAAAATAATGAGGAGCTTCTTGATAAGTTCGAGGCAGCTAGTGAACGAATTAGGTCGAAGGAAGGGATCCCTATCATATGTGGTGCCCTGCCTAGAAGGAGAGTTGGCAATGAATGGTTGTCAAGGGCAGTTGATGTCAACGGCCGTCTTGACAGATATTGCAAGTCAATATCAGTCCCATTTCTTTGGCCACCCTTTGTTATTTTGACCTCACTTCCGTCAAACACCTCCATTGCCCGTTCATAATGTTCTGGCTTCACGATGAGGAAGGACTTGCTGGCGTTTGGGTGGTACCCTATTTGTGGACCTCGCGATGTTACCAGGTCCCACCACTTTTTGATTTCCTCCACTTTTCCTGCTCCTGTAAGGTCATCAGCGTACGCCACTTGTTTGACCCCAGTTGTATCAAATTTTATTTCTTGTTGGAGCACTGATAGGCCAATTGCATACATTACCATTGCAACAGGGTCCCCCTGTGTTGTTCCCTCGGTTGACTGTAAGATGGTATCACCTCTTAAAGCCTTGTTGTTTACTATATAGAGGTCTGATGGATTCCTATAGGAATTTTCAACATACATTGCAAAGCTTGGACACTTGATCTTGATGTTGTGCAGTGCGGCCTTGCGGTTAAGTATGTTGAAGGTGTTTGAAGCGTCCACCAGGAGAACGGCCTCACAATCACGCTGCTCAAATATCGTTCTTATGGCGTGAATGGCCGCCTCCCCACCAGCCTGGTGGCCAGCACACACTTGCAGGTTCCCTGCTGCTGCCCTGACATCATCCTTTACCACCTCCATTATGCATTTTCCGATGATTCGCCTCAGCACTTCCCCCACCCCTATAGGCCTACATCCTGGATTCTTATCCAGGGGAATGAGGCCTCAGGCCGTCAGAGCATGGAGGTGTTGGCAGCAAGAGGATGCAAGCTTTCTTGCAAGGACGGCAATGGCAGTGCAGAGATCACTTGCTACGGGGCCAAACTTGTTTGTGCTGAGGATGACTCTCCAACCGTTTGCGTCCACACCTGAAGGGCCGGCTCCTCCTCGAGTCTTCAGTGCCTTTTTCCACACCATCTCTCCTGTTATTTTCTCGAACAGGACAGCATTTGGTGGGATATAGTCACCCTGGAACCTGATGCCTTCTTCATCACTTGCAGGGGGATGTTTTTCTTTCAGTAGTTTTAATGTCTCTCTGTTTATTGGCAGAACCCCACCGGAGGATTCCTCTGTGAGAGATCTTACCGCCAAAGACACTTTTCCCACACGCATTTTGTTTCCAAATTTTCTTGCAACGTCATCGGTGTTTTGCTTTCCGTCACCTGTAATTTTTAGTCTCTCCTGCAGTGTTCTTCACTACTACTACTACTACTACTATTTTTTTTTAAACGTGGCCACCATCCTCTCCCAATAGCCACACCTTCGCTGCCATTTTATTACCTTAAAATTAACTATCCTAATACATAAGTAGCAACCCTGGCTGTGTTGAGTTAGTTGAGCCGCAGATCTATGCGGCCTTCAGTGACTGTAGCCTCATAATCAATATCTGCAACTGTTGTCGGCTTTGGGGCCGATGCTCGCGTTCCCCTGAGGCAGAGCAAAGCCGACCTAAGGAAAGAGAAGGACAGTCGACATCTCATCCAGGCTGTAACATAACTACTACTACTACAATACTCCTTACTTACACTCTCAGGTACACCGCTCATTACGACATGAATATATTACTTAATTAATAAAGCAATTACCTGTATGTCCCAGGTTAATTATGTCTTGGTGCTCTACCTGTTCTGTGATTATGTTGACTTTAATGTACAAGGTGAGGTGTTGGGTGTTGTTGTTATTATTATTATTATTATTATTATTATTATTATTATTATTATTATTATTATTATTATTATTATTATTATTATTACCAATATTATTAGTAGTATGTAGATAATGTTAAGAATAAGAAATGTATCGATGAGAAGAAGAAAAACAAGAGAAAGAGAGAGAGAGAGAGAGAGAGAGAGAGAATAATATGAAAAGAATTAGGTAACAGACTGCAGTGTTCAGGCGGCATGACAGTGACCAATGGAGAGGTGCAGAGGGTGTGAGCGTCTTGGTGGCCGGGTGCTGAGGAGAGAGAGAGAGAGAGAGAGAGAGAGAGAGAGAGTAAGAAGACTGGAGGAGAGAAAGAGAGAGTTTAAGAAGAAATAAAGAAAGGAAGAAAGAGAGAAAGAGAGAGATAATAAGAAGAGAAAGATGGAGATGAAGAAAAAGATTAGATATAAATTTGTCCTCATAAATCAAGTTGTTAAAATAAATATATACAATAAACTGACTTAAGACTTAAATTAGAAATCTCATGTGAAATAAAAATTAACATCAAAATTAATTACACTCAGATTATATTTTAATTAGATACGTTCATTTAACATCACTAGGGATAAAATTAACAATTAATTATCATATTTAACACATTAATAGGTCAATAGCACTGTCACTTAGATATTGAGTTAAAAAAAAGGTCATTATTGAAATAGAGGTCAAAGGTCACTACATTAATACTACAAAGGTCACTAAATAGTTTAAGTATCATACATAAATACTCACTAAATGAACAAGCATTAACAACACTAAATAAATACTACACACAGGTCATTAAATATATAAACATCAACAAATGTATCTAAATAAACCTCAACAGATTCATTATACACATTTATTATACACATCATCATATACATCATTATACACATCATCATACACATCATCTCACACATCATCATTACACACATCAATATGCACATCATCTCACACATCATTATACACATCATTATACACATACATTATACACATCATCTCACACATCATCATACACATCATCTCACACATCATTATACACATCATTATACACATCATCATACACATCATCTCACACATCATCATACACATCATCATACACATCATTATACACATCATCATATACATACATCATACACGAGGACAATAACTAGGGTTCAAGGTCACGACAGAGTGCGTGATGAACTATAATAAAAATGGCGTGTGAGTATGTGTCTGTCTGGCTGTGTGTGTGTGTGTGTGTGTGTGTGTGTGTGTGTGTGTGTGTGTGTGTGTGTGTGTGTGTGTGTGTGAGGAGGGTGGTTACAAGGAGGATTATTATTATGGTATCTCTCTCTCTCTCTCTCTCTCTCTCTCTCTCTCTCTCTCTCTCTCTCTCTCTCTCTCTCTCTCTCTCTCTCTCTCTCTCTCTCTCTCTCTCTCTCGCTCTCTCTCTCTCTCTCTCTCTCTCTCTCTCTCTGACTCTGACACACCTAACCTAACCTATTATTATTATTATCATTATTAAAATTCTTAAATAGATGAATTTAAAGCCTCAACTTCCAATAATTATCGTGGAAGATAATTAATTACTCCTCACTAATTACATAATCAATACGTGACTGAAAAGAAGCTTCAAATTATCGTATATATAATTAATAAGCCACAAAAAGCCAGAGATTTTCGTCTAAAAAAAAGGTTTATGGGAATTTTTTTTTATATAACATAGGAGATTCTGGTTTATTTTAGGTGTAGGATTTTTAGGGGGATTTTGGTTTATTTTAGGATTTTAAGGGAATTCTTGTATATATATTTCAGTGTATGATATTTTTTTAATTATTTTGTATTTCTTTTTGTTTACCTATATTGTTATTTGGTGTTAAATAATGCTATACTTAAACGGTTATGTGATATAATTTAGCCTAATGCCCTAACGTTAGATAATGTGTAATGACCATTTAGCATAATAATAATAATAATAATAATAATAATAATAATAATAATAATAATAATAATAATAAGGTTGATCATGGAGGCATCAACAACGAAAGCGAGTAACAGTGAATGAAAGAGAGAGGGAGATAGAGAGAGAGAGACAGGGGGAGATAGAGAGAGACAGAGGGAAAAAGAGAGAGGGGGGAGGGACAGTGAGGAAAAGAGAGAGGGAGAAAGGGAAATGGGAGAGAGAAAGAGAGAGAGACAGACGTAGGGATAGAGGAAGAAAGAGAAAGAAAAAAGAGAGAAAGAGGGAGGGGGGGTAAGAAAGAGAGAGAGAGAGCGAGCAAGAGAGAGAGAGAACGATCTAGAGAGAGCAAACGAGAAAGAAAGATAGCAAACAAAAGAGAGAAAGAGAGCTAGTGTATATATACTGTCCCAGAATACAAACTTTAAAACCAAAACCCTAAGTTCTTAAAAGCACAGTAACTTAACCTAACCTAACCAAACCTAACCTAACTTAACCTTACCTAACCTAACCTAATACATCATAACATCAACTTCGAAAAAAAATAATACGACTTGCTTTTTGCCTTGTCCCCTTTATGCCTTTTCCCCTTTATGCCTTGTCCCCTTTATGCCTTGTCCCCTTTATGCCTTGTCCCCTTTATGCCTTGTCCCCTTTAGAGTGTCAACAAAGAATAGATTCTAAATAAGTAACTGTAGAAACTGTATAAACACGTAAATCATAACAAGTGAAAAAAATTTAATAATAATTCCACTGTAGACGATATTACACAAAGGAATCGATATCACTGTATATATTTTGTAATTTGACTGTAAGCTGTAAAGGACTGTAGTTTATTATCGGGAAGGTGAGGGGGGAGGAAGGAAAGATGGAAGGAAGAGAGGGTGAAGGAGGCCAGGTAGGAGGAGAAGGAAGGAAGCAAGGAAGGATGGGAAGGATGGGAAGGATACAGTAATCTCGTGTTTCTGTAGTTTATAAATCTCCTTCAGTTGGGATTTCAGTTTTATAAGTAAGTCGTTTATTATAAGTATTTAGTCAATTACTTACAATTAGGCTGGTTGTTGTAATGGCTTGATTGCCTTGTTAAGTGTTACAGCGCCCTCGTGGTGGATAGGATAAGGCCGACAGTGACCTCGCTGAAGTGAGGTCAGGTGATTTGGAGAAGGTTAATTAAGTTCTTGAGGTGATTTTGAACAGGTTAATTAAGGTCTTGAGGTGATCTTGAACAGGTTAATTATGTTCTTGAGGTGATCTTGAACAGGTTAATTATGTTCTTGAGGTGATCTTGAAAAGGTTAATTGTGTTCTTGAGGTGATCTTGAACAGGTTAATTAAGGTCTTGAGGTGATCTTGAACAGGTTAATTATGTTCTTGAGGTGAATTTGAATAGGTTAATTAAGTTCTTGAGGTGATGTTGAACAGGTTAATTATGTTCTTGAGGTGATCTTGAACAGGTTAATTATGTTCTTGAGGTGATCTTGAACAGGTTAATTATGTTCTTGAGGTGATCTTGAACAGGTTAATTGTGTTCTTGAGGTGATCTTGAACAGGTTAATTAAGGTCTTGAGGTGATCTTGAACAGGTTAATTATGTTCTTGAGGTGATCTTGAACAGGTCAAATAAAGCATTAGGGTGATCTTGGGATAATCTTACGAGTTATCAATGGTTTGTGAATTGGCGTCATTTAAGGTATCAAATGACGTTGTTAAGATCTTGGTCTTGTCACTCAGAACTTAAAGGTGACTTCAGTTAGGTCACTCAGAACTTAAAGGTGACTTCAGTTAGGTCACTCAGAACTTAAAGGTGACTTCAGTTAGGTCACTCAGAACTTAAAGGTGACTTCAGTTAGGTCACTCAGAACTTAAAGGGGACTTCAGTTAGGTCACTCAGAACTTAAAGGTGACTTCAGTTAGGTCACTCAGAACTTAAAGGTGACTTCAGTTAGGTCACTCAGAACTTAAAGGTGACTTCAGTTAGGTCACTCGGAGGTTAAAGGGGACTTCAGTTAGGTCACTCAGAACTTAAAGGTGACTTCAGTTAGGTCACTCAGAACTTAAAGGGGACTTCAGTTAGGTCACTCAGAGCTTAAAGGTGATTTCAGTTAGGTCACTCAGAACTAATTATATGTCTTGATACAGTAGGGTACAAAAATATATAGCAGATGAATATGCACTATATGATATACAGTATATTATGTAATTTTAGTTAGTATATTATCTGATAACTATTACCTTGGAGCAGGTGTTCGTAGGTAATCAATGTTCACTGTTTTAATTATCACTATTTCTGGGCATTAGTTTTTCTATTTGTTAAAAGGAAATTTTCTTCATTACATCGTCAGTTTTCATCACAATCACTGTCTTCTTTTTCCTCAGGTGACGAGACCGATTGATGAGACAATACCTGGGTAAGTGTCACTGTGTTACTTCTGTGTTCTCTTTGACCTTTGACCTCTCTCTCTAACTCGCCTTGACTTCCTACACGGTTGATATTGATAACACACACACGTACATCAATACACCTTTATGAGAATTAATATACCGTACACGAATTTTCCTCGACTTTGTTCCGGTGCACAGATGGGAGAAATGCTTCAGGCGAGGGCAGATTTTAAGTCAGGTCACGTCAGCTTTTTTTTCATATCCATACGAGGTCATTCGGGGGTCAAGTCAAATCAGAATCACTGTCACTGGTCTTTTAAATTATATATCTTCACTGCTAAAACAAACTCAAGGTAACCCTCTTATTTACGAGGTCAACAGAGGTCAAATTCCACGTCTTTACACTTATTATGTGTCGCCGATGTCATCTTAGGTGAGATTCGTCGCACCTGTGTTGATTAGCGACTTCATGCCAGGTAAGGACGATCATTTGTCCAGATTCATCACAAACCATCAATTACTATCATCATCACACAACACAAGTCACTGATTACCACAATTCTTACGTCTAGACCCAGGACAGGTGTGTCATTTTCCTTCACCTGTGACTGTATCCAACATCCCGCACACAACAAACGCCTAACTGCAGTGAATATTTTTGTTTTTCTTTTTCTCTGAGTTTTTGCCGAGCGAGAGTCGTGAAATATCAGAATTACTCACACATTAAAACCCAGTAAAAGTTGCGAATTAATATAACTTTCTCTCTCTATTTTTGTCTTTTGAGTTTGTGCGTGAGTGAGTGCAGGAGAATCGCTGTCTTATACACGCAAAAACTCTCACCCGTCTTGGTATTTTCTTCTGTGGGTTCGAGCGCCAGTAAGAACAAGCTCTCAGGTTTTGCGTCGAGATAGCGAAGCCAGTTAGCCAGCTCGCGAACACGAGAGAGAGAGAGAGGGAGAGAGAGGAGGAGGCGTTGTGGGTGTGTATGTGAGAGAGCCAGAGGGAGTGAGTGAGTGAGAGAGAGAGAGAGAGGCGCACCCGGTGTTGACCGAGCGACGGCCAGCGACTTACTAAACCCGAGAACAACAATAGCAGGGTCTCATATGCTTCCCCGCCACTCATATTGTCTAAAATAAGATACTCAAACACACACACGCACACGCACAC